AAGAAAATTTAACCATATATTTAGAAAATATGTGTGTGATGATTGCAGTACAAGGAAATTAATACATGAACAATTAAGATTAATATTTTTATTCATTAAATTTTGTTCTTACCAGGACCTAATATGCTCAAATAAGTATTTCTGAAAACTGATGAGTTTTTACATACATGCAAAGCTGCAGTGAACATGTATAATTATATCTACTGTAACAGTTTAAAACATGACACTGGAAATTGTAAGGTTGTTAATTTAGTAGGAATGATAGGAACAGTTAAGTAATCTACTAAAATTAAAATCTTTCACAAATACATGTAGTTTATTTTAAATTGTTTACATTTATAATCTTTTAATTTTTTCTGTATTTTGATTTTAAAAAGGAGAAAATTTTGTTATATTTAAATTATTATGTCATGGATATCAAGGAGATATACATGTATCTATTACTGTAGCATTGTTTCTTTTTCCCTGTTCTTGACAAATATTTATGACAGTGTTATGTCATTTTGCAGAATCTTTGAAATCATAAGTACTCTGTAAACTCATTAAAGTATGATTGATGTCACTTAGAATTCATCTTTATTTTGTTCTGTCTTATATTTCAATTTAGATTCTCAGACTACCTAATCCAATGATTGAGCTAATGTCCATGAAGTGTAGAAATAGGTCATCTTTAAAAAATGTTTGGTTATCGGCCTCTCCAAACCGACTGACTAAAATGACCAGACTGAAAACTGTTTTTCAATGCAGGGCCGTATTTTTTTTTCTTTTTATTCCTCTTATCCCCCTTTAAAAAATGTTGTTGAGGATTTTCTCACCTACTGATCCCAAAATTTTACCTTGAGTCAAGAGACTGGGCAAACCAACATTACTTTAAAGAGAGCATTTCTAGAAATCATTTAATTATAAAAACAGCAGCTTCGTGGATGCGATGCTTACAACATTTCACTCAAAAAATGGCATACATGTATAATGACAGTCACCAGCCATAACTGAATAAAGATATTTGGCTACAAAGATGTCTAGAAATTACTACATGTTGGAATAACTAAATCAGCATGAGGTCAAATTCATAGGCTTTTAATTGGTTTAGTTGCAACATGTTCTGAAGTATGTTTATATACATATACATGAACTTCTAAAGGTGTTGCAGACTTGCAGTATAATTCATGGACAATTTCATCAGAATATTCAGATGTAAAGATAGCCATAAATACTAGAGTTCTTCCATGGAATAAATTTTTAGACCATCATGTAGCACAGAAGGAGTTTTATTTTGAATATTTTTGGCCAATTTATGCCTAAAAACAATATCAAAAATAACATCTAGTCTTTAACATTCACCATGACAAGGTGATATCAATGTTGCCTTTAAAAGTGTAGAAAAAGCCTGATTTTTATGTTCCGAACCCATAATATAGCCCCTGTTTCCATGGAAATAATATTGGGGACATACATATTTTTTTAGTTCAAATTAATGAAAATGATCAAATTAATAACTTCATGGATTTTGAGGAAATCGGTAGATATATAAAACGTTGATTTTTATATTTTTGTTACCATGGCAACGGTTTCACTTTATCAAGGAAAATTGAAAAATCTTCTTTTTTACCCAAATTTTCACATTTTTGATAACGGAAAATTAAAAGTTTAAATAATATAAGCATTAATTATACTAATTCAGGTCATTTTAATTATAAAAGTTTGATAATTAATAAAATAAATCAATTTTTTCAATGAAAATAATATTCGAGGTGAAATATGAAATACGTTAAATTTGGCGTCTTTTACTAAAAAAATGGGACGGGCAATATCTTTGAAAATCATATTAAATGATGAAGCTAATCTCCCTGAATAAATTGATATATGGCATGTGTGCATATTAAAAAAAATAAAAGTTGGAGGGAGACGCAAACCTTACCTTAATTCTTGTGACAGGACCTTTCATTTGATATTAAGTAATTTGACCTTGGTGTTTGGCCTACTCTTTACCATTTTTAACTTTGACCATAACTTCTAAACGGTTGGGGCTAGGGCTTTCTTACTTCACATATGTATTTCTTGTGGCAAGACCTTTCATAGGATACAATTACGACAAGGTTGACCTTTTGACCTTGACGATTTCCATACTTATGAAAAAACTTTAAACTTAGCCTACTTTCATATACTAGTACATTGTATCACATTGTATTTCAGGTACGAAAACCCTACTTTGGGTACCAATATATTAAATTTCATTTCGGAAAAGTTTAATCTTCGTTATGTTGCCATACGGTGGCATCAGTGGTTCACAAACACATATTGTTTTCAACAGTGGTTAACAACTTGGTTTTCTCCTCTGTCATCTACTATACTTTAACGAGATTTCGTTTTTATTTCATGTACATTTCAATGAAAGCTAGTGATGTTTCTTGTTCATATTCTGACTTGTAAGCCTGCAGCTTAAAGTCGAATTGTTCACATTTTGGTATCTAGTATCTTGATAGGAATCAGCTGCAGTCATACAGTGATTTTTTAAAAGCGTACAGTTTTCCAACATTATATTTTTTCTTCTCTCATCTATAAAAATAACATTTTTGTCGTAAGTTATTTAATCAATCTTTTCTGCATTTCTTTATTTTATAAGAATTTTCTACTCTCATGGTTCCCATTGATCCTTCAGGCGTCATGGCAGAACTTTTATCATTCAGAATACCAGCTGTCAAAACCAGCTATTATATAATGTTGTTGAGTAGTCCAAATAGCTAAAAAGGCTTTGATTCAATGTTCATTCTGCCACCTTGCAGATTTTTACTATGTGCAATCACACAGGTGAAATATGCTCACGATTTCTTTGTTTTAGTAAGCACAAGATATGTAGTTTAATTATGCACCAAATTACAGAATAAGAGAATTAATAATTCAATACGAAGCAACACCAAAGTACGTCCATAAATATACAAATAGACAACTTAAAATTAATTTACTGAAAAACATAAATTTGATCGACACTTCATAAAGATGCATATGAAAAATTAAAATAACAATGTGTTGCAACATGTATATTCATAAAGTTTTAAATAAATGTTCATATCATCTAAGGAATGTACATAAGGGGCATGACTGACCTTCCTAAACAAAAGAATCAGTGTCACAGTTTAAAAATCTATCATTGATTTTATTCAGATAATGCATAGAACTCTTCTATGCATATCAATACTTCAAGTATGTATATCTATTTCAAGTACACATGTACATCATTTTACGCAGTTGTCCGTTTAACCATCAATCGCATGGATTTAAGCGAGTAATAATACGTTCGCCATGGTTTGTACACAACACCCTCAGCAAATATGGTTGTATTTCCCGCCAAATAGAGACCGTTTGGATTGGAACAATGGCACGCATTGTGCCACCAACCGGATTTGAACTTGGTTGCGCAGTTTTGATGGTATAAGTCGTTGTCTTGATCCTTTGTGCTGAACTTCATGTTGTTTAGATGGGCGGCCGGTACTCCGGTCAAAAAGCAACCAGCTGCAAATAAATCAAAGGTAAATTAGGTAATTTTGACCTATACATAACGACAAAATGGTCATACGACTCCCTAGACACACGAAAAATTAAAATTCAAAGTGCTAATTGTTATAATCTAATTGATCTTCCATGGAAAATGAGCTTAGCATATATAATTTATGGGAACGTTAACTTTAAATATAGTTGGAACATGCATGAAAATTGATAAAAATTTTAGCCCATTGAATCTTGAATGGAATGTATAGGAAATTGTGTTAATTAATATAGTTCGAACATATCAGAAAATTGATCTTTTTTCTTCGACCAACCAGCATCTTCAATGAGTTTCAATGAAATTTACATTATTTTTTCTGCAATTTAATAACATGATAAAGTTGAGTTACATTAAATAAATCTCGCCTCAGTTGTGTTTGTTGTTTTACGTTGGAATGTTTACTCTTATGTAAAACTTGATACCCACAAGGGACTCATCCTACATGTACCCCTTGTGGATCAAGATTACATGTAAAACAGACATGAACCTACTATACTCGAGTGTGCTTCCATATCAATAAGCCTAATAATTGTGACTAAATTGATCGCGGGGAGATTTTTTTTTCTTGTATAATCCTATGATAATTGTAATCCCCATTATAACCCCCAGTGGTTAAAAATAGAGCAAACTTAAATTTACACCACCCACAAATGATTCGATATCCTTATTTGAAAGAGGATGTGGCGCTTCATTTAAGAAAACCTAAACCCCTTTACCCAAGAACTGGCCAAGTGCTTCTTAAAGAAGTTGAAAATGTGAAAAGTTTACAGACAAATAGGCAAACAGTCGGACAGGCGGCAGATATAACGTGATCAGAAAAACTCACTTAATTAAACTTCCTTAATCAATTTAACAGAATACATACCTACGTCGCCCGAATAGCCGGAAAGTGAAATTGCATATTTTGAGGCTTCGTCACCGAGAGTGATACTGGAGTATTTGATATAACGTGTTTGGTTGTCGAAGTCCCCCATGTCCATTCTCATCTCGTAGGAACCTTGACTAAGTAGACGAGACAGCTTCTCATTGCCTACCAAGAATTTAGAAAATAAGGTACATGTAGTTGTGGTCAGAGGTCCTGCATCTGATCCACGCCTGGCAATGGGACGTACCCCTCACAAAATCCAATCGGTTAATTTGGGGCTAGTTATTTATTATTGAGAAATAATAATCGATTAGGACGTTCACAAGTTAACATAAAAATTTATTTGTTAGCCCAGGTGTCTAAAGTTTTTATCCTCAAAAAAAAAAAGGAATTCAAATGAATAGCACAAACACTCTGGATACTGAATTAGTCGCGAAATTTTTCTGACCAAACCCAGATTTATTTGTTTTTTTTTTAATGATAAAAACTTCAGACTCCTGTGGTTCAAGTTTTCCCCTACATGCACGTGCTACAAATAGCACATATCCGAAAAACTTAATCTGATTGGTCAAAAGATTAAAAAAAAAAATAATGAGAATGAATAATTTTATCGTAGGACGTTTGCTGAAAACCTGTCGACTAGACATTAAACCTGATCAACCAATCAATAACTCAATCTTACCTAGCCAGAACTCTCCTGTCAAGTTTCCAAAGCCGTTCCTGTATTCAGACCAAGTTCGATAAAAGTCTTCAGAACCGTCCATTCGGCGTTGAAAAACCTTTATGTGTAAAATTCTTATAGAATATACTTTCAAGAGAAAAAATTGTGGTACCTATCCTTAAATAAATTTAAATATCACACGATCATATTTTGGGGTTTTTTTTATGTATTTTATCTCCTCAAATAGAATATTTTGTATAATTCAAGTTTAAATTCACCACAAATATTTGCAATATTGATGTATAATTGATAAGCTTTTCTTAATCTAACCACAATAACATTGTTTTCCTTAGACGTTATGTAGACAGATAACATTATCAGAATTAGCCCGAAATATCTGACGTTTTTTGGCTTTTTAAAAAAAAGAATTTTGATATTTTAAGTGCCAAAAAAACGTCAGAACCGGCGCAATGACGAAAACTGGGAATTCGCCGCCTCCAACCGAAGAATGCATTGAATTTCTCGATTAGATTTTAGATACTTGCGAACCGAATAAAATTTAAAAGTACTTTTAGTACATACCAATATCGTTTTAATGGTTCAATTGTAATTATACAATCCGTTAAAAAGATTTTATCACAGCCGTCGAGATTTGTCATCGTTTTGTGCTTTTTAGAATCTTAGCTAGTCCTGCAACTAAATACAGAGTAATAAATATATATTTTTTAATCGATATTGATGAATACTAAAGGCATTTTGCTTTTGATAAATTCTGCTTTCGGCATTTAGCTCAGTTCGCAAGTATTAGAAATGAACTCCCGTTGGAGACGGCGAAATTTCCAGTTTTTGTTCTGACGGTATCCTGGCACGTTGAATATCAAAGTCGTGAAAAAGCCTGGATAACGTCAGATATTTCGGACCAAATCATAATCTATAAATCTATCAGTAAGCTATTTAGCACATATAAAGGTATCTTAAGTTTTGGTTTTATTTTATTATAAAATTGATATTACTGTCCACCCTCCGCCATCAGCCTCCATTTCACAGAATACAGTCACGTGACCGAGGGCTGGGATTGTAATGCTGTATAATCCACTAGGTAATGATGGCCACAGATCATGTATTGTTGTGCAGTCTTTCAGATCAATATTATCTATAACAACAATCAAATGGCATGAATATTTAATTGCGTGGACATATTAGCGAGGTTAAATCGGATGCCATGGGCATACATGTACGTAAGTATACGCATATGAATGCTAGAGTTCGCCCTTAGACAATTTGCCGGTAGAATACGGCACCTCACCTTATTCGAATTAAAATATGCCTTTCATTGGCAAATCTCGCTTTTAAATCTGCATATCATATTTATATATTCATTGGCGGAACTAGAGTTCTCTCTTATACATATACAAATGTCCTTTTATATACAAACTAAACACTGATTCTATGACACAAGCATTTTTAAATAAGTAGTAAGAACTTGCAGTATACAGATAACTAAAGAACTTGAATTAAACACTTCATTCAAGGACTATTTCTAAGTTTTAAAAGATAAAACAAGTCTTCACCGGCATTGGTTTTGTGCATCAAGGCTCGCAAAATTATTATGTACATAAAGCAATCCAAATACAGCTTGATACAGGTCTGTAACAACGGTTAGAAACGCATGCATATGGTCCACGTATTACAGTCCTTCTTTAAAGGACAGCAGATTGTTCTTTATATTGATGGTCCAAAGCTTAATACCGTGAGACTTACCATTGGCACAAAAGGTCCTATTACTTGAGAGTGTGATGCATTTTTCGCCAGATGAGCAGGATAGACATTCAGTACTTTCAATTGTCTGCTGAAAGCATCAGAAAGTAAGAGTAATATGTCAAAACTTTTTGTAAGGGTGGGGGGGCGATTGTTAAAAAAAACAGATTCACTTTCTACTCATTTTTAATAAAGAAAAGAAATTTTAAAGAAGGGCGTCGAAAGACTGACTTCCAGCTCTGAGACATTCATGGAAAAATTGAATTTTAAAAGAAATGTACTAGCAGTAAAGTACTCTATTACATTGCTGTTTCATGTATTAAATTGAATAAAATATTGACAGAAAATGGAGGGGTCTTTCGAGCGTTTAGAGATGGTTTATGGTTATGAGTAAGCCTGTGTTTTTGTATCTTTGTTTTTCTAAGTATTCGTTCGTTGATTGCTAAAATGCAAATGCCAGATAAATAAGTATTTATGACTGCAGAATAGTCAAAAAATTTTCGTGCGAAGGCATTGTGTTTTTTATGTTACAAGGTTTAATTTGTCTGCTTAAATAGATTATGGTTATTTTGGCCCATGATCTCTTTGGATCACATCAAATGCATCGTAGAGCATTGACCCCAATTCATCGTTTGGATCAACTAAAGCAATCCCGTCACCAATTCCCCTGAATGCATAGAGTCTGTGAAATGGACTCTACTGTGGCAAGTCAGGTACTATGAAAAAAATCTGAGATCACTTGAAACAGAGATCACTTGAAACGAAGTTTTGATTACTAATTTGAGAAGTTAAGCAATGACATTTTAAAATGATATTTCTTTTTTAAAAATACACTCCCCGTAATGGTATATGAAAATTTCCAAACAGAATTCATATTCCTCACTTTGCTGCAAAAAAACAAAACAAAAAACAATAAGCCCGTGGTCCTTAGAAGGCACCTTTTGCAAACGACGAAAATAATCGAATAAGAATTAATGATGTAACATTACTTGCTGTACAAAATACTTACATTATTTACAGGAATGCTGACATATTCCTCCGAAGATTCCGTCAATGTAATAGACGACACGACTTCACAATGTAGATGTATTTTCTTATAGTTCACCCCTTTACACCATGCGGGTCTTGCTAAACACTCGTTTATACATTGCTTTAAGCCAACTTTATCAACAGACTTAACAACTGGTCCAATATATCTTTGCCCTGAAATTTGAAAATGTGTATTTCCAACACAATTTATGACAAATGTGAGTAGAAAAACAGCAGGCATAGTGTTCATCAGAAGAGATTGGAATAAAGAGTATCAATTAGTCAACAGCCTCGCAATCGGCAATTAAATTATCGACTTGATTTCCAAGGGAATGTCGGATACACTTTAATTAGTATATGAATTTAATTGTGTGTATTCAAAAAACATTATGGGCACTTTATGTACCTTTGGGTATTGAATTAACAGAGAACAGATTTTAATGGTCACTCAGATTAAATAAAAAAAAATCGATAATCAGGATGAATGTATCCTTACAACATTACAGTATCAGTAATTTTTTTGAAATACACAATAAAATCACTGTTTGTGCACTGGCTGTTAATTGATATTTTTATTCCATGAACATTTGTATAGTACAGATATAGAAAATTAATAAATTGAGAGAGCACAAAGAACGCTAGAAGTAATTAAAGATTCTGAGGCGAAGGTATTCAATAAACAGTTCATAATGGATAGCAAGTAATAGCTTTTCAAAAAAGCTTGCCTGACTAATGCAATCAATATCTATTGAACCTATAATCATGATAAAGTTATTTATATAAACGTTTACATTGGGGGGAGGGGTAATTATTTCATTAGAGTAAATTATGAAGACGTCGAACAAAACATCATACATTAATTTTGAGTTGTTTGCTTCTTATGAAAGCAATGGACAGCCTCGTTTTTGAAAGGGGGGAGCTAGAGAATATTTTTTCCACTCACCTGCAAAAAAAGGAATATGCCCAAAGTTGAAAATCCTATTTCGGGGGGGGGGGGGCAAGGGGGGATGAACAACTTTTTTCAGTGTAAAGTTCTTTCTGTACCAATTTTTTAGCATTAAATACTGCATTTCTCTTTAATAAATTTCCTGTTATATACGGGGGGGGGGGGGTCCAATCTTTCAATTAACATTTCCTATATATACCGGTAATAAAAGTAAGGTTGGGAAAAAAGTGGGGGACAGCCCCCCCCCCCCCCCCCCACCCCCTGTTGCTTCGTGTCTGATGGAAAAGAAAACTGAGATTTTATTTAAAAGGTATATTTTGTATGTGTTTTGATCTGTTTTTCGTTTGTTGTATAAGGACGCCTGTGGAGTGTTACAAATACTTCGAAATCAGGACCAGTGAGCAGTTTCGTGTAATTTTTTTCGTGCTAACACCTACTGCCACTCGGGACTTGGTTTTAAACGGTCTCATCCTAAGGACCGATCTCCACGTCCTGCAGTGGATTCGAACCCGCGACGTAAAGCTCAGCTCCTCATTCCACAACTCTATAAATGGTTATAGAAGATGTAGTAATTAAATAAGGGAAATGTAGTAATTAAATAAGGGAAATGAACTAATGAATTAATGTATGCTGGAAAACAGTGTCTATGTAAAGGTTATATATTGATTTTAAAATTAAAATTTAGAATTAGATTCAACTGCATAGACTACCAGGAAGACAGCTGAGAATATAACTACAAGAAATAAATGAATCGTTATGATTAACATGCAGAATATGTTTAAGTACTATATTCTTGGGTATACCAGAGCATGAACGATTGTTGGAAACAGCCCGTTATACATAAATAACCCAACGAACTTGACGGTGATTCCTTAAACTAGTATTCCTCAATCCTGGAATAGGATGGACGCTTTTCCTAAGTCTATTTTCTGTGTTTCATAGGAGGATGAAGAATTTTATCTCTGAAAACTGGAGGGGGGGGGGGGGGGCGGCGAGTCCGGGCGAGATATGATCAGAAATATTATGTATATTTGGCCAGTTTTCCTCTTAAGAACATTTTTTTCCGTTTCGTTTTATTTACTTTAAATGATTAACTTCTAACTTCTTTCACAATATCACCGATATGTTTTGTTCGAAATTCCGATAAAAAGATGAAGTTTTCATTCCCATTCAGTGCAGTAGAATCATCCAGGAAAAGGGCGCGAAGATATACACGTGACATTTGGCGCCAAAATGATTGTGACACCCCTTATCTCGAAGACAAATGGACTCATCCAATAGTACAGAAATGCAGAAAAAAGGTCAAACGGACATGTCCGTATATGAAATTGCATCAACTAAAAAGCTGCATGCAAAAAAACTAAAGGAAATAAACACATCAATATATTGCATCAGTAAGACGGTTATTTTTTCTGCTAAATGTTTTGTTGAAACGTAGGTAACAAATTCTAGTGAAAATCAGCATGCACAAAATTCTGCTGGCTAACTGTGACCTCTTCTCTTCGCACCTCCGAAAAATCAATCCTTATACAGCCTGACGCCGTGACGTCAGGCAAAAAAGGTGGTATAATGAAGCAGTGATAATAATTACCCCCCCCCCCCCAATAATTTTGTCAATAAAAAAAATCGCATGTCAAGCGTTTCTTTGAAGTTTATATTAGCCCCAATAAATGGTGGTGTTTTTCATTAAAATCATATACTTTGTTAAAGCTGACATGACATCTGAAATATGCAGTATTTAGTTCGTACGACGTTATGCACGTTCTTCTCTGCCACATTTCCTTGATTCGAACAGGCTTGGAAAATTAGTTTCTTATGCTGGAAGATCCGAGTTTGATGGAGCGTAGCGGAGTCAGACGAGAATTGCCAATTTGTCAGAAAATTGCTTGAGCTACTTTAAAGAAATAACGAATAAAATTGATGAACATTTTTATGCAAAAAAACTCGTCATTGTTGTAAATCAATCAATACTTTCGCCAGGACGGTGCTGTACTAACATTGACACATTTCAATCAGCGAGGAAAGAATATTGAAAGCATCACTTTTGCAAATTAAGCGGCCTACGCATAATAAATAATGTATTCAAAATGATAAATTGTCTTATCGAAGAATAAAGTCGACGAAAAAAATATTTTCCAAACCATTACTTTATGTGAAAAGAATGGTTTTTGAACAATAACATAGTTAGAAATGTCAAATCAAAAGGTATTTTTAAAAAAAAATATATGAATAAAGAGCTTTTAATACATTATAAGTGATGCATGAAATTAAAGCGAAACATTTAAATTGATTTATTTCATACGGACGTGTCTTCCTGCGTAAAGCATACCAATAAAATACAAAGATGATGGTATTAACTTAATTGCTAAATAGAGGTATATTTTATCAGTTATAAATAGCACTTAAAAGTCTTCACATAGAGTACAAACGAATTCAATCAAGACGATACAAATTGTATAGCAAACTGTAACAGGTGAACTCATGAAGTCGTTAAAAAGTAAACACGAGTATAATATATCGACTAGCATTGGTTTTTAACAACCGAATACTAGTATATGACCTTACCAATATTCAAAAGTTTCAAAATCTCACCAATCAGGCCAAAATAAAAAATACCTTTGTTTCCCCTAACGCGACCGACCCAACTAAAACGCGCCGACTGAAAAGATTTTTTTAAATAAGATGATTCAATTTTTTTTTTTATTGTCAACCAAGTTTTATTAAATACAATTTCATCAAAATCTGTTTTTATCAGAACGACCGACATTGTACTACTGTGATTTTCAAGCATTTGATGGAAACAAAATAGCGCCCAGATGTGATTACAGAGAAGTTCTTCATAAAACAACGGCGATGTCTCAATCTTATGCCTTTTGCTGAATAGAATTCTTCACTCTTGAAACAATTTGATAATAAAATTTACAATGACTAATTAAGAGCTTCGGAGGTGTCTTGGTGTCTCCATGTGAGTGAATAAATTTTCGAAAGGGACGGTAAACAACGAACAAACGAATCTGTATGTTGAATTTCAGGTACGTAATACATATTACCTCATGAGCAGATGAGGGGCACACAAGTGAACACAATTCAATTTCACTGCATTTTATTTAATTTGATTTTGATCTGATAAACAATTCATCTATGTTCCTATGTTAACTTTATGCCATTATGGAATCATAGGAGTTGTTGTAAATATGTCTGCATATTCATCCTGATAAATATAATTCAGTTGTACTTTTACAATTCATTTACGGGAAAAACTTCGTGACTATGACATTGTTTTATATAGAATTTCTACATTTGTAGATTTGGTTTGGTTCATTTAAATACTGTTTAAATACTCTTTCCAAATAGTTTTGAAATCATAATTCAACTTCCTGAGACGTCCAGTGTCATTTTCTTTAATCAGGCCCTTGAAGATTGGTTGTTCTTAAATTTTAATCCCTAATCGAGAATTGTTGGGACATTTGAACATTTCCTTTGCTCCAAAAAGATGTACTACGCACTTTTTTGCCATTAAGCAGTGGAATCTTTTTTGGGCCAGCATCTTCTGCGACACTGGACAAAAGTTTTTATGGCCCCTTTTGAAGGACCGTTTTCAACGTTCCTCATTTGTATTTAAACCTGCGACTTAAAATTAGCCACTTACGTCTTAACTGTAAAGCAAAATGCTCGAGAACCGCTGCAAATCTCAGAGCCCTCAAAAAAGTACAATGACTGTCTTTAAGCACTGGAGGGTGATTGAAGGTTTGAAATAATATACTCGGATGTTCAGTCTTTGGGTATTTGAGAATCTTGTCTTTTTTTATTCGATTTATATAAATGTACTCTGGTGAGATATTTCGCAAGTTCATCTAAATTACAGTTGTGAATATATATATATATTTATATATATATATATATATATATACAAATATTTATATTGTATTTTCTATATATATATATATATAATTTTCCATTAAATTTTAGAATGTATTTTCAAAGATGCTGTCAGAAAATAAAATTGTTTACTACCTACCGACCCAACTTGAGAATTTAGGGTCGGGTTAGGGGGATATTTTTAATTCCGGCCTGAGCATAAAACGTTTTCACCACATTTAAAGAGCACTAAATTAAATATCAGTGACAGCACTTATTATCCGTGCAACGCTGATGAAATCCAGGTTCTGTGCTTAGAACATAACCTCATAGTACAGCATTGTGCAAAATATTAATGAACAAACGTTAAAATACCATTACAAGTTATAAACATAACAAAAAAAAACAATTTTTTTCACTTATACAGTCACACCATACTTAGGGTTATAAATTCTTTCAATTTTACCAAACAAAATACACTAGAACAATGGCTTCATTTGTAAAATATGTCGTTGAAAGTCTTCTGAATTCTAAGATAGGACGTGCAAGAAATTTACTACACCTATGAAATATAGGAATAAACATATGCAGTAATAGACCGTGACTTGAGCACTTCTCAAAGCAGTGTAAGGGATTCGTGGAAATGGCCCCTTACAAACATGATCAGAACATGGAGGGAAATATTACATGTATCACGTGGTTCATAAATCGAAGCGTTTGACTACATGTATTATGGACCGATTATTGAAAGTTAGCAAGAAGTTACAGAAAATATAGCAATGAACGAAGGTGAAACATGCAAACTTTTAATACCTATAAAACCCAATGAATTATCCTATGAAAGGAAACAATTATCTGTTTTCTGAATTCATTGTGAAATGAGCAAGAGGAAAAAGACTCAGAGAATTGGATACTTTGGTTTTTTTTAACTGATTGTTGCAGGATACATATAAATAGTTTTTGATCACATGACTTCCGTCCACCTAAATTGGATTGGCGGCCATGTTCGAGGAGTAGTAAGCAAAATCAGGTAAAATATTGTTTTGTGTATATACGTGCATTCAGTGGTGTCAAAAGTTGTTAAATGTGTAGGGACTCACTGGGATAAACCTGACAAGATGTCTACTAAAACAAGTCTTTTTTATGAAAGAACCCAGATCCCTTCATCTAGAATCTGCAATAGTCGAGAGGCATTGAAAAGTTGGCCTGTGTTACGTACCTACACATTTTAGCTAACCTGAGGTGAAAGCTCAAGTGAGCTTATCTAATCACCGGTCTTCCGTCCATCTGTGTGTCTGCCTAGCCAGGGGCAACAAAGTTTTAATCAAAGAACACAACCTAGGGATGTGATCATGAGAGAGATGCTCGTGAAGCATATTTTGAGGGCATGAAAAGGTTCCATAACATCCATACCAATTTCACTGTAGAAACTGCGGGGATTTTTCTCCACCAAGGATAACCATCAATTTGTTCTTTGTGCAAATCTATACGCGCCAGAGTATCCCTGAACCCCCCCCCCCCCCCCCGCGGCAGAGAGAACTTCAGCACAGAAGGCACAATGAATAGCATGATGTTTTCTGCATATGCAAGGGAGAGGAAACAGACACTATGGTGGTCTGTGTTGACAAGAGATATCCATGTCAATGGTTTCATTTATTTACTTGTAATTTTATCAAATTATTTAATCTGATGACACCCATATTATTTCCATTGGATAAATCGATCTATGGGTAACCAAATCCACTGATTATTGTATGCCCTGATCCATTATCCATAATTATACTTCGATTGTCTTTTATTAATAATTATAGATCTTATTGTTTTTATGAATTCATTCATAAAGATAAACAAATCTTGTTAATTAATTAAGGTAAATCTAAGGATTTTGAGGACCAAGAAATTTTTGTAACACCCAAGATCGGGTTACATTACAACTGGTGTCAAAATTGGCATATCCATTTGCTTTTTTCTGTTTACCAAAACCTTTATATAATAGAGACAAAAGAAGTTTAATATATTTGTATATTTTATAATTGACCCAATAAATTTTTGTACCCAATATTTAAAATGGAAACTGAAGACAGTTTTGAAGTCAGTTTTAAATCACACTCATCTTCGCCCAATGCTGTGAAAGATAGTCGGGGTGATTTAACCGCTTCCAATCTCATATTTTCCAAAATGTCAAGGAGTATCACCTGCAAAGAATAACCAATTGGACATGTTAGTGTCTATGGTACAAATTGTAACCAACCTACAAATAAGAAGATGTTAAAGTTAAAAGGAAGTCAAGAAACAGAGATATAACTAGAGCCGAGCTCGTTGCAAAGCAACTAGTAGGTCGTCCGTCCTGTTTGACCGGAAGTAACTTTCATTTGAAAAAAAAGAGTAATGAAGTCGAAAAATGGTTTAATCCTCCAAATCTATGTTCATTTTTGCAAAATCAAGCTATTTTTGGCAACTTCCGGTTTGACCGGAAGTACCGTCAACGGATGGAAAATTAAGATTTAAGCTTCCAGTGACATATGATATCCAAAAACCTGTCAAGAACAACAAAAATATGCAATTTTTGACTACTTCCGGTTAAACCGGAAGTGACGTCCCCGGACGTATTTTGACAACCTCGTTAGATAAAGCTTGACATTTTGAACAACTTTGCTTATTTGACGTATTATAAATTCTCAATACTTTTTGAGATATTAAACAAAAAAATTCAAGGGCCCTAGATCCCTAATTTTAGGGGCCAGCCCCTTTTTAATGATATCAAATGAAAGCGCTTGTAATTATGCACACCTTTTATTCTACATATCTTAACAAAATATTTTTAGTTTTCAAGATAAAAAGGAAAATATCTGTAAATTTTCGCTCTTTTAGGCGTTCTAATTTTTGACCCCTATATAGCGCCATTTTGAATGCAGAAATCGAAAAACAAAAACCGATGTGCACAACTTCAATCCTTCTGTTATCTAAAACAAGTAAAATTTCTGCTCCAGCTTTTGTGGTCTCTGAGCCTTTATCCGGAAACGAAAGCCTATGATTTTTCGTTTCAAAACCGGAAGTGACTTTTTGAAATTTTAGTCATCATTCTGATAGAATTCATAAACGTCTATAACCTTTGAAAATTTGAGCGAAATCCGTTGAGAAATGAGTGAGATATGAGGCCTCAAAGTTGGCGTCTAGGAAGAAAAAAAAAAAAAAAAAAAATAAGAATAATCTAAAAAAACAGAATCAGTAGAAGGTCTTCCGTTGGAAACGGAAGACCTTAATTATCGTAAACGTAGAACTTTTCACCATCTCTAAGCAAACTTTACGGGCCGATCTCACCTCCATTCTGACTGCCTTAGTGTTTGATGATTCATACAGGAAACCTTCAGGATTATTTGAATTCTTCTTAGATAGGGACCCAAAACACTATACATGTAATTTTATTTTCAATTTACTGAGGAAAGGATGTGCAGCGAACCACCTGGAATTTCTCAAAGACATCATCCCACTTCGAGAACTCCATCAGGAAAGTGTTTTCTTGGATCTAGACGACCTCTCCAAAACCATTCAACGCCACTTAGTTGAACTCTCCTGGTTGCAATGATTTATCATGTGACCTATGACGTAAGTGTGCAAATTATACAGAGTCAAATTGATGTGCGATATATTTAAATGATGAGTTATGTTTTATATAAACTTGTTTAACATTGCTATTTATACCTAGAATTGTTTATATCCAACTTATTAACTATATTGTTATTGTTGATATTGTTATGTCAAAATCGATATATTTATTTTGTTGTAGCCCATTATTAAACATGTGAACTGACTCATTGACTATGTTTTTTTTAGATGGCGATATTCCCATGAAAACTAGTAATAAAAACGGGTAATGATATAATATAATCCAACATTCGTGACGAATGTTTTTCGTGGAAGGGGAGCTCCGTTAAAAATTGAACCCTGATCAAAATAACCCACATGACATGCTCACCCTAATCTATTCCCTGAATATTTAATCTGTATATCAACTTTATCTGCAGATTTCATTGGAATGGCACAAATCTTTATATGGTATTGTGTGTTTTATGATTCATTGTTTATGTTTACTCATTGAATATATTGTTTGGTTGTATTGTACAAACCCGAATTTCCTCAATAAATAAGCCCTCTCGTAATAACGAAATGACAATGGATCCCTATTCCTGAATTTGTAATGCTAAAGCCTTCAATTGAAGCAACAGCTGTTACTATACAAACGTCCCGCTAATACTGACAGTACCGCTTGTTATTTGCGAGAGAAGTAATTCGCACCGGTGTACAAAACTCATGTAAAGAATGCACTTTGGACGTTCCCTTTAGTCTGGGACGTTGGACAGTCCTATTAACATCTTGACTGAAACTCCCAAATCAATCGTATGGAGACGCCAGCACAAGCCGATCATTTTGTCCTGTACTCGGCGCCCAGGGCCAACATTGAGCCCAAGCTCATGTAAATGCACTCTTAAATATTGGGTAAGCGATCTGATGCAACCCATATTTCCAAATGGGTAAATCGACGCTCTAAGCACTGGGTACGACCTTCAGTAGTTGTATTATTGTATTCCTTTACGATCTTCACAATCATGTTAACCAAATTGAACCTACCAATGGATTGTACGGCTGGCATGCACAAGCAAGATAATTAAGCCTTCCTTTTTGTCCTGTACATTTGACTACCAACATTGAGCAATATAAGGATCTTTGTCCTGCCAGCTTCTTGTGCACACGAGACCTCGGTTTTTTCCTCTTTCCGAAGTAATTGACCGCGACTCCACCTTCCCAAAGTGGAAATAACTCGCACTGTGAGGATCAACTCCTTGCTTTAAAATTAGAAATATTTAATTAAGCACTGCGCCACGTGTACGAACAAAAGTAGTTTGTAGATATACTGAATTTCTTTTACGATCTTCACATTCATCCTTTAAGGAAATTGAACCTACCAATGGAAGGTATTTTGGCTGGCATGGATCATACAAGATAATTAAGCCTTCCTTTTTATCGTACACTTGACTACTCAATGTATCCTGGATCAATTATATATAGGGCTCGGGACGGGTGTGTCCGCTCAGTGAGGATGCTCTCATATAGGCACCTGATCCCACCTCTGCTATTTCCTTTTTCTGAGTTGTAATTGCATGCGATCGATTACTGTTCTTCTCCACTTTATTTTATTAAAGACACTTCACTGATGACATTGGCGATAATAATAATATTGCTTTAAAATTACAAACATTTAATTAAAATGGTAGAAAGGTCCAATGCTCAACAAAACGTATGACATCGAAATTGAAAGATAATTATACGTTAAATAAAATCTGAGATAATCTCAATACTAACATTTAAAAGAATCTTTACCTCATTTAAAATAAATATAGAGATAAAATATGAGATAATATCAATACTTACATTTAATTTTTTTTTCTCATTTAAATACGAGAAATCTCATTGCAAAAGAATAAGAGTAGTTTTTTTTCTTCAGAAAATTTAATTCATTCTGTATCCTAACAGTTATATAAAAATATTTCACATCCCTTTTCTGCAACTCTTTATTCCAAAATGTAAAAAAAAAAAAATCAAGTGTTAACTTTCATATTTTTTCTTCCATGCAATTGATTCCTTTTATCATATGTTTATTCAAATCATTTTAGCCTTCTAGTCAACCCTTCTGACCATCAATTGAATTTGTCTCAGCGAGTACGACTGTCCTAACCACGCGCCGTAAGTTATGCCCTGCGCGTTCTTGGAGGTGAGGCCTCCTAAGTACAAACCATTAGGATTGGTATAAAGACAATTTCTGTACCACCATCCACCCTTGAAACTCACAGAACAGCTTCCCCCATTTAAATCGTTGTCCTGATCCTTTGTTGAAAATTTCATGTTGTTAATGTAAGTCAAGGAGTCACCTTAAACAAAATAAAAGTTTGATGAAAAAAGATGTTCCTTTAAGGTCAGACGAGACGTTCCTCAAAATTTGTTTTGTATATCTTCGTAATGTATGAAAAATATTCAAAATTTTAATAACATTATGATTTCTAAACCAGTTTCTAAACATTTTTTAAAAATCCAAACACATAAACATTTGAAATTAGAAAATTATTTTTCTTCCTCAAAGGATTATATAAGAAAAACTACCCCTGGTATCTTGCAGAAGTGCCTATTAAGGTAAATTTATGATTCATTTTTTTAAGTGGTATTAAAGAAAAATATTTTATTAGCAATACTTCAATGACAAACTCTTAAAAAATTTCTTTATTTTTAAGGTGTGAACGTGTATCTGTAATTAATTTATTTGGCACAGCGTTAAAATTAAAATAAAAAAAGTCATTCTAAATTTTATTTCAAGAATTCTAATTTTTACTCATATCATATCTGTTGTTTAATGTGTAAAGAAAAAGCTCAAACCAATGCGCCATGCATGCAACTAATTAAAAATTAGTTTTATTTTTTCCTAACATCATATCTATTGTTTTGTGAGTAAAGAAAAAGCTCTAACCATTGCACTTTGCGTGCGACTAATTATTGGAAATTAGTTTTATTTTAATCATTTTTGTTTACCTACGTCAAACATTTAGAAAATATATGTACACGTATATCATTAAAAGAGAAATGGTGAAATATTTCTTACCGACGTTCCCGGAAAAACCAGATTATGTGATCTTATACTTTGAAGCCTCGTTTCCAATAGATATACTGCTAAGTTTAACATAACGTGTTTGATTGTCGAAATCAGCCATGTCTACCCGCAACTCGTAATGTCCTTGACTCAGTAAATTGTGTAGCTTGTCGTTGCCTTTAAAAAAGAATTGGAAAAAGAATCCTTTTGCGTGCTATATATTACAAATATGGGCTTATCAAAACACATATGTTAATGAGAATGCATATATTCTTTATTTAGGGAAATTTCATAACAAGTTTTTTCCTCATCAGTGGCGTGAGTTTTTGAAAGTCTTTACCATTGCACTTTGCGTAGAAAAAAAAAAATTACTTTTACCTTAAAAAGTTGACAAGCAAAAATTTAGAAAAAATATGAAAAAAGGAGAAAGTTATATCATTTAAAAGAAAAAGGTGAAATTTTGGGGGTGGATTGGGTGGGGGTAAGGTAAAAATCGTTTCCAAAGATATACTGTGTCAACTACTTTTGATACCAAAATAGTACTACATTTAATGGTCCATCACTAAAAGTGATGTAGCTTGGGGGGCCTTTTAAAAAGAATTGGAAAAAGGCTTTCAATTATATTACAATTTCCTATAGTAAACACATATGGTTGGTGAAAAAAGTGGGGGGGGGGGCATTCTTTATTTACTTTGAAATTTCTACAAATGCTTGTATTATCAGAGTGCTTATATCATACTATATCATTTACTGATTTACGACACTAAATCCTTCACGGTTGCTCGCGTCCTCATCAGGTGGTCGTGAGCTAAGCAACACGTCATTTAATTGGCATAAAAATTTGAAGACTTTTACCGGTACATGGTGACATATGAGTGAAAGTTTCTCGAATGGTACTTAAAACAACATATAATCAATCAATCATTTACGACACTACATCAAGAAATGATTTTACTTTTTTCAATCAAAATGATTGGTTTGAGAGGAATTTAGGTTCAAAATCTCAAAGTATCGGACTTTGGTTGTATAAAAGATAAACATAAAATTTCATTAAATCTCTGTCCTTGAAGTGAGAGCATTGCCGTCTATGTTTAAATTTCAAACCAGTGTATTGACACTGTATTGCAATATCAATATAGACAATGGGTCTGTCATTAAACTTGCATCATTCATTTATACACAACTTTGATTTGTCAATACATTAGAACTACAGTGAAAGGTATTGATTAATTTCGTTTGAATGTGTACAAGTAGAAATATGCCAAACTATTATATTTTTTGAAAGTACTGGTAAATACTTGTAAATCTTTCTGGTTTTCTCAGACAGAGAGTAACAGTTCTAAATAATACAAAACTGTCTATATATTCCAATGCAACAGAGAGAAGCGGCTTCCAAAACTTATTTATTTTTTGTTTGGTTCAACGTTCCTTTCAGGAATTTTTCACTCGTACGAAGATGCCACCACTGGAGATCTGCAAATTTAAATCTATGCTTGACACTTTGGGTCAGTGAGGGGCTGTTTTTGGAGCCGGCACCTACTGCAACACGGGCCATCGGCTTTTACGGTCTCAATCCAAGGACCGGTCTCTCATCACATAGTGGCTTCGAACCCGCGCAGAAGGATGATATTCTCACTATGCGAATCTATAGAACATACGGTCTTAGGTCTTTGCCACGCAGGTGATTATT